TTTTCAAAACGGTTTTCTGTATGTTGTAGGGGCTTTACGTGAACTACAATATGTGTTTCATTCTCACTGAACGGCCCTCTGAAGGTCAAGAAAGGGTCAAAAAATTTTTAAGAATGGGTGGTTTTTACACCTTGGAGCGATGTTTCGGTCTGCAGAGAAGACACCAGTATATTGAAGAATACTGATGGAGATAATATCGAAAACAACGTGAAATTCGCTTAAAACACTACTGTGCTTCGTACTGCACTGATAGTGCTGAAGAAAGTGAGGAGATTCCACAAGCTTTGTCAATATCCTTGCATTTGCAGCGGACTCCGCTTCACGGCAACTTTTGCATTTCTGATTGTCACCTCCAAATCGGCGCCAAATTGCTTCAGCGTCAAAATTAACGCTATATTCACAATCAGGACCATCAGTAGCCCTGCAAATGGGTTTTCTATCAAAAATGGCAGAAAAAGTTCGCAGCGCCAAACTGGCGCCAAATGGCGCCGACGTCAAAAACGAACGCCATATTCGTGATCAGGACCCTTATCTACTCCCACAGCCCAAGGGACGGGAAAAGCAAGATTCCGACATTTTCAAAAAGGGTTGAACATGGGCTAGAGGCCGTCATGCACGCCGAGCAAGCGCGGCGCGGAAATCAAGCGAAATGTATTGGTGGTTCACGGAAAGCAAATTCGGTTTCATGGAGAATGTCCCCCACCACGTCGCAGTCCTGAGCCGCTCCAACTTTTGGGATTAAGACTTGCGAGTAGAATAGCCGTGGTCCCAATATGCCATTTCTAGATGGATAGGAGAATCGACGTTATGCGTGCCCTAGTGTCCATTACCACCATTTGTGTCTGCAGTTGTCGATTAAGTAATGGAACTTCTCATTATTTTGAGAAGAACAACAAGGGACAGGGCACTCGATAGTCCTCCAATCAGAAGTTTCAGAGATAATTAAGATCCTGACTCATTTACGAATTTATTTTGGCCATTTATTGCAATTTATGGGTACCCTTCAGCCGTGAAATTAAAAGTTTCGTATCGAAAAGTATACTCCCCACGGTCTAGCAAGGTCGTAGCGCTTGTGACTCTGCACGCTCGTCGATAGGTAATCCCTCGCCATCTCTCTCTGGCCGTTTAGGGCCGCTGTTAGACTTTACGAATCGAACCAATTGCTAGCGAGCCGGGCGACTCGCTAGCAAATCGCTCAATCGGTAAAGTGTGACATAGGCTTAGCAGAGGGATAGAGAGAGCGTTGTCGTCGAAGAGGGAAATGCGGTGAGAGTTGCATCAATGCGGAAATATAGCAAAGGAGTCCCATTTCTCAAGTTCTGGGTCGTTTCTCATTTTTTTCTTCCTCTCTGCACTAGGAACCGCCTCCACCTTTATTTTTGATGGTTGACTTCTCATCGTAAAGTTCGCCTCAGAACTGGGCGGACTGTGCAAGGTCGGTCTCGGAACTCCGCTCGAGCAACTTTTGAAACGTATCGATATCAAGTTCCAACCCAATATATCGTTTAACAGCAGTGTAGTTTACTCCTTTCCTAAATAATGAAATACGATCTCCATTCCGTATTCTGTCTTCCGATTTTCGTATTTCGACTTTCGAGC